TCTTGGAAGGAGCAGCTGCACAAACGAAAAACATGTCATGGCCCGCAGCGCTCTGTGATTCGTGTCTCCTTCTCTGTCACTGTTGGTGGAGTCCAAAATGTTGCCTACGGATTCTTATGGGAGGGAAAAGTCTCATAGAGTCAGTAGGCAAGTTGATGTCTATAAAATGTATTGCACTGATTGCAGGGAAAAAGTCGCACATCCCCAACTGATTGACAATCGACCAGGACTCCTCATTTTATGAACTCTTGGAAACCCACAGCGAACAGATGAAAACACCAGGTACGAACCTGCAAGTCTCCTGCATCAGCTTTGGATTCCTGTTGAGCCGTCTCCTCTAAAGTTTTGTCTCCTGGCAATCCACGAAACTAACTTGCAAACAATGGAGAGACACGGCAGGCTCGGAACGGCCCTCAGATGATTTAACATCAGCGCTTGAGTGTATACATATATGTGTTGCATCTTCATCTGCATCTGTATGTGTGTGTGTGCGCGCGTTTACCAAATGCAAAGATCCCCAAATGGATGGAAACGCTGTCCAAGACCTTTTCTACAGGAGGTCAATGGAGGTGTAAATATTCCGTAATAACCTTTCCCCTCAAGACTCCTCTTTGGAAAAAGCGAGCGCGTCCCAGCCCCAAAAGCCAGGACCAAAACCCGTGAGAGCAACTTTCCGATGCGGCGATTTGCCGTTAGCATGTGAGTCTCGATTTGGACGACGTATTGCGCTGGGCCATGAAAAGCCGTGCTTTGTGTGGCAAGAAGGCACGATTGGAAAGCATCCGGTGCAAAACCACATCCTTGTCCGAATGCTGGGACTTTGGTTGTTTGCGGGAATTGGTGCATCAATGTCACACACATGTCAAAGATTGAATTCACTTTGTTCCTTCCGCACCACCCCCTGCCATTGACCTGCTTAGCGCTTTGAATTTGCTCAATTGACCTCGCCTTTAAGTGTTTTGCCATCCGGCGATCCGTGTTTGGCCATGACAGAGACCAGACACTCGCTGGTAGTGGGATTGTGTGGGATCCAACACACACCGGTCATTCTCGAGGTTTTACCTGAAGTTTGTTCAATCGTTTGTGGTGAGCGCACTGGGGCTGCACCACGATGACTCTGAATGTGTGGAAATGGGCTGTGATCCAATTCCTACGTCCGTGTTTGTGAAGAGATGAGATCAGAATCGTGTTTGTCAAGATGTCCCAGCAATTAGCTCTTCAGAGCTTGACAACATGGTCTTTGCCACCAGCTTTGCGGCCAGGAAGCGCTCAAGCACAGCCCAGAAGAAGGCGAGGGTCGCAAAGGGATCGAGGATGGTCGATGGAGCAATGGGATACATCGAACATACATCGAACATCATCCAATCGATCCAGCATCCCCTTTGTGATGTACTAACTAACATGGAAACGTTGTTTACGTATCCTGCTTGCTTACTTGTTGATGAACAGCTTGTTTAAAGATGTGGCCCGGTCAGGGTATATATTAGTGGTTCCTCAAAACATTGTCAGAGGGAGAGATCTAGCCTGTTTGGTTCCTATGCGTTTTCAATTGAATTTGTTTGCACCGTGTAGGGGGGGTCGAGTCACTAAGGCCCTTGCACATCTTGGCAAAGACATGGCACGAGGAGGTTGGTCTCAAAATCAGAGGCTCCCATCAAATCCCATGAACTGTGCAACGTTTGCCGTCATCAACCGTGGCCCTTTTGGGCTCAATTCGGAAGAGCACCATTTGTTTCAATATGGGCCATTCGGGCCTTCTTTGCTCAAGAATCAGCAGGTGAAGGTTTTGGGTGAAGGCTTCGCGGCCCAAACCTGACTCAACACAGGTCGGTTTCTTCTCTCAATCCTGCACTGCTTGCAAATGCACAACAACAAGGACACACAACTTCAGGAGCCTTAGCCTCGGCCCTAATATACACAGGATGGATACTCAGCATGAGCCAACATGTTCCAACTGTGTGTGTGTGCATATGTAAATGTATTCGTGTTGGTGGCAAATTTCTCCTAAATGTTGTAGATTCCTTGAACCCACTTTCATAGATCGAGATCATGTGGTCCTTTGCTTGGCAAGCATTGGCCCTGTCACATGTGTCCCTTGCCACCTTCAAGGGCTTTGTCAATCCCATGCATCACTGGAATGCTACAGAAGGCGTCGTTTTGGTCTTGAATGTCTCTGATGGTGAATCGCCTGACGACGTCAAGGATGCAGTGGAGGATTTCCGTGCTAACTTCGAAAAGTATCAAGCTACTATGTCGGAGCTTCGCAGGACTCGAAATGTGGGACGTGGCCCATGCATTGAAGATTTGGCAAACACCCAGGATGTTTGGCCTACACTGCAGCAGATCGCTGAAGCAGGTTTTCCTTTGGTGGGACAGTATGTGAATATTGGAGCACATGATGGCCGCACAGACGATCCACTCTACAACTATTCTCACTTTACCCAGGCGAGTGGGGTTGCCATCGAACGAGATCCTGAAAAATGCAAACATCACAAGGCAAATTTGCCAAATGTCCATGTCATGTGTTCGGAGGTGACGCCTCAAAATGTGCTTCCACTAGTGCGCCAAGGGCTCAACGGCAAGGATGTTGATGTCTTGAAAATCGATATTGATTCCTACGACTGCCCTGTGTTGGAGAGAATACTGCCAAAAGTGCGAGCCACCATGGTTGTGGTGGAGGCGAACCCGTCAATACCACCACCATACCAATGGGCCATGCTTTATGATCCCAATCTCTGGAACTTCTTCAATTCCTTTCACAGTCCGGAGGAGGTCCCAATTCGAGGCTGTTCTTTGGCATATGAAGTTCAGCTGCTGAACCGTTACAATTACGATTTGGTGTTCTTTAATGGGCACGACGCCATCTTTACCCATGAGGAGGTGCGAAGTGCTTTCTATCCTCATACTGTGCCAGTGGACGAATTTCATTGTTACTCTGAGGCATTCATTGCAGCCAATGGCATTCCGATCAACGTTACAAGACGATGGTTCTTTAACATGAGCGATGTGCATCAAGGGTTGCCGGAGATTTGGCGCTTTTTTGTGACTTGGATGATGGACAATGCACCGGTGCTCTACCCCTTCGCATTGCGAGTGTGAGAAAAGAGCACAACGACCAGACCAGCTTGCCCAGTTTGACAGGTAGGAGCCAAGAAAGGATTTACAGAACTTCATCAGGTGTGTTTCCCAGTCGTGAGGGAAGGGAGAGGGAAAAAAACAGGATGTCCAGTGTTTTGATGAAAGTCTTCGTCAAACTTTCTGTGAGGATTGTTGCCAAGGGGGCCTGGACATCACATTCCCGTCTCTTTGTGTTTGTGTGTTTGTTCAACTCGTTGCTGGTGCCCAACGGCGCAGGTCACGGAAAGTTGCTGAGCCTTTTGTCCACCATTCTTTTGGACAGCGGCTTGGCCAAAAGCAAGCGAACTAGGAAGAATGGAAATTATATGATTTGATGGCCAGCTCTGTGAAACATGCAGTTCTTATCAATTCTTGCTGGTGGAGCAGTTCAGATGGCTCAGCAGTACATTCGGGGCCGCTTTGATGAACAGGCATGTCTATTCCTGTGGTATTGTCATGTGATCATTCACCAACAACAACATTCCAAATTTCGCAAAGATGCAGAACGACTCCTGCGCCACAGTTTCTAGCCAAGCCCGCATCACACTTCTTGATTTTTTGGACGGTTCCTGCAACCAACTATTAATATAGTTGCCCTCGCTCAACTCCAGGGAAAGAATTTCAAGAAGCTTTGGACACTGCACGAAAAGCTACGGAGAACCTGGGGCTGGCACTGGATGATGTGGCTTGGCGAGCAATTTGGCGTGTTGAAAACGCAATTTCTTCAAAAAATGCCTAGCACAATCCCATGCACATTGAAGTGCCAAGCTTTATGAAGTGCTCATCCGTGGGGACGTGGGCATGATGAGGTTCATTGAGCCAGCGTTCGCAGAATCGAGATGACATTGATCCTAAGCACTTGTTTAAGCCCAGGAGCAGAAAGATCAACAGCTCGTTTGCATCAACAATCAGGCGTCAGGGCTTTCGGGTGTCTTTTCCCAATCATGGCCCACTAAGGGCTTCATCTTCCAACGTTGGTCATTGGGGAAATCTAGATGCGCTATACGCCACCCCCGCGATGACCGATGTTGATGAGTTTGCACCATCTAACGACCTGCGTCCTTGCCACTAGTACCTAATAGCGATGGCCTTCAACCTACTAGCAATGGCCTCCACCAAATAGCATCCTTGCAACTAGTAGTGTGCCAACTGCTGAGAGGCCTTGGCTCTAGCCCAGCTCGGAAACTTCCCTGAAGCGCTGCAGTTCCTGGAGGTGCCAACCGCTTGCCACAAGCCAACGCGTGGTGTCTTATCCCTCCATATGGAGCAATGTGACCAGCGATGTGCATGAGGTCACCCTCGGGGAAAAAGAATGTCTTCATCCAGAAGTTGCGATGGGAGAATCGAAGAAACTGGCGATCTCGGTTCCGAGTGTGTCGAACACCGATTTGGAGAGAGAGAGAGAGAGAGAGGGCACAACAACCGACAACCAACTTTGGCACCGGCTCATGGAGCCTCCGAAATAGATTTCACATGTCAACCCCGAACTTCCTCAGGGCAACCGTTTAATCAGCTTTGTCTGTGAGGAAGTTCCCTTGGGTGCAACAACAACCACGGTTTTTGATACGCTGTTTGAGCGCCAGGAAAGGCTCAGGGAGTTTCGGGCTGCTAAAGAGAAGCGCGGAGAAGGGCAAGCGTGCGGCTTCTCAGACAGGGTAGTGGAGTTATCCTACCTGGCTGGATTTCTGAAAGTTCATGAAAGTTGTACCAGAGCGGAATAGAACTATTTAATTTGGAACTGACGGCCATTCTGACATGCATGATTCAGACATGACATGCATGAAGTGATGCTTCATGTCACACGCAGGCATTTCACGCGTGTTTTGGTGGACCTCCCCCACACTGTCGCCTTTCAAAACCTTAGCATGCTGCTGTTGACACTCATGGCTTTGTGCCTTGACCTTGTGCCCGCTCAAACACCCACCTGGGATGTTGATGGGCAGAACAAGGCCTGCCGTCACACTAAAACCTGGGTCGTCTATGAGGGCTACTTCGGGAAGCATTACTGCACCGAAACTCTGGAAGACTGTAAGGCACACTGTGAGAACACTGCAGGGTGCAAGGGTGTGGAATTCTCAGCCGAATGGTCTTGGGCGGGCTTGGGCACTGGCGGCCGGTGTGAAGTATGGTTTGTTGACATCAACGTCACCTGGCCTGACTACACGAAACACCAGGTGACTTGCCTTCGCTACCACAACAACCCTTTGCAAGTGAAGAAGTTGAGCTTCAGTGAGGGCCTAACAGGTGCCTGTCGTGGTGCCTCGAGTACCGACACCTCCGTTTGCTACTACTCCGTGCACAGCACTCAACCTTGGCAAACAGCATGGTACTCTCGGCCAAAGCTCACCCTGGAAGACTGCAAGAAGCGTTGCAGCTCCCAGGCAAACTGCACGGGCATCGAGTTCGAGGAGGAGACGGGCTACTGCGAGGCATGGAAGGTCCCCATCACGGCCACCTCTGACGTCCCAGGCTACCGGTGCTACCGGGTGGAGGGGACCGGAACTGAGGCCACCGAGCCCGCGGTGGTGTATCCATAAAGGGTCCGCGCCTGCCCGCGGTGGCTCGCCTCGCCTCCGAAGCAAGAAATGCTTGAAAGTGGGCAGAGACCCGCTCATGAGCTGCAAGATGCAGCTGATGGGTTAGTTTGTACACGCCTGAAAGGCAAGCACAAGCCAGACCTCATGAGACAGATTAAAAGGCCAGGGCTCTAGAGCTGAAAGCAACTGAATTCCCATTGTGTGAGAGGCCGCTACTTCTGTCATGTTGGGTCTCTTGCCTTTCTGGCGCCAATTCACCACTGGTGCTGACCACCAGTGTGCTGTGATGCTGCTGCTATAGACACGTTTCATCAGCTTTTGCGGCCGAACACAGCTAGCGATTCCAACAAGATGTGTCCAGATGGCGCCAAAAACTGTCCCGCACCTTGTCATCGTGATTCCAAGCAGCCACTTTGCCCGCCAGTACGTGGCATGCAGACGAAGGTAGGGAAGCACTAGGTCCATAGTTCATCATAATTCATATCACACTTCTAGAGAAAGGCGCGCTTTCGCAGACATCCATGGAGCTAACAGAGAGCAAAAACTCAATTCTTGCCTCCAAGCACATTCTTCGATAGTACGCCAAGAAGGAACAAGTCCTCAGCGGAACCGGCCCGGGGGAATGGTCATTCTGGGTTTGAAAGGTAAGTCGGTAAGTCTCAAGAGCTGGTTGTGGGCTTGCCAGGCTAGAAGCTGACCAGAGGTATCCAAGCATAGATAGAAGAACCCCAAAGACACTAAAAGGAAAGATGCTTTTGGAAAGCGTTTGAGTTGATTGGGGCAAGATCTACACCATCCATGTTGGCAAAGTCTTTGATGTCTTTGGACCAGAGCCCAGAGCTCCTCAGAGCCCTGGCTGAGGCTTTTCATTATGGCGCAGTTGCTCCAGGCAGCTGGGTCCCGTGCAGAGTTCGAAAAGTCTCAGAAAGAGCTTGAGGGGCATACAAAAATTGATATATTTATGTTGTTTGATTCTTTCTTTTCCGATCTTTTTGGTTTGGTTTTCCCTGATCCCCACATACGGGATCATAGGGGAGGACAAACCAAAAACGAGTGTTTGCATTCTTCTCCCCTTCCCCCGGCCCTTCCCCCCAGCCTTCCCTCCACCATCCTTTGGCCTCCAGGCGAAAGGCTCCACGGAAGAAGCCCTTCATCGTTTGGCCTTGGCCGCCCCGGCGCTCCTGGAGTCCCGCGATGTGCGCTGCGAAGCTCAGGCGATGGAGGGTCGGAGGGAGAGGAGGGTCGGACGAAGCTCGAGGTATGCTCACTAGACATATGACATATGACATACTGTAAGTTACTAGTTAATATATCTCTTGGGGCGAGAGCAATTGACAATCTCCGCGCCAGAGCTACAAGATTACGAAATTCAAGTACTGTGTGTGTATATATATATATATATGTGTGTGTGTGTGATATGTGTATGTGTATGTACAACTTAATGTTTTGCACCATGTTCATCATTTTTTGGTTACAATATGCCTTCCAAGTGTGGGTGTTTGCGTGCGCTGATGTTTTCTTTGGAAGAGATGTTGCTTTTGGCTCCGTTCCCGCGTAAATGCAAGCAAGCACAGGCTCTACCAGCGGAGGGCTGCATGCATGTTGCAGTTCAATGTGAAAGTGTGTGTTTCAGACGCTAGGGTAGGGGTGTGGAGGAGGGGCTAATTGCTTGCAGTATGACTTGCAATCAACACCGAGACGTTTTCCCGTTGCATGAGCATTGGACACTGCTTTGCATTGCACGAAAAGTTAAGACAATGCTTCACACTGCAAGAACATGCGATTCACTGTTCACGAAAGCTAGCATGCTAGCTGAGTTCTTCTTTGCTTTAGCAATTGGTAGTGGGATGAGCTGTGTGCCTTAAAGCTTGATATATCACACTAAGAGGCGGGGGCCAGGCCCCCCCCCCTCAGCGTGATATATCACTCTAACC